ACATGTAGCATATACAATGGGTGAGCATCCTCAATGATGCCTGCCGAGCTCTGATCTGATAACCTCTCTACGAACAAATCCGATACGTTTCCCGTCCGTGGGGAAGATAGGAACGCAAGTTGCTGCTTGTATTCGTTTATATCCAGTTCTCTTCTCTGTATATCAGTTCACATGACCTTCTTCTACGTATGCCTTAGCATGCGCGAATACGAGAACCCACTGATTGAATAGTTGACATCTCGCAGCACGCCAGAATACCGTTCTCTAACAACGCGAACACTTACAGGGAGTAGTATTCTGCGCTTCCCATCCAACACACTCTCAGGACTTACTCATTGCATTCTGTCTAGCCTTCGTGCGCACATCTCTGTCGGTCAGCATTTTAAATATTGATTTTGCTACTTGTAACACGTACAGATTTCAAAGTGCTTTGCGCACTTGTATCTATCAGGCCCCCATCTAACGCTTATGCTCATGTCCAATCCTGCGAACTTTAGGTCTCCACCTATCAGATGGTTATCCTGATGTGTTTCAACCGCCGGAACCAGTTCACCTTCTCCGAACTACTTACTGACACTGGCATTCCTGAGCGCGATTTGGTCCGCAGTCTCATGGCTCTCTCGCTCAGCCGTTCCACCCAACGTATTCTCTGCAAGGAGCCCAAGTCTAAGGAATTTGAGCCCACCGACGTCTTTACGGTCAATGATACCTTTACCTCTAGACATTATAAGGTCAAGGTATGTTGCACCGTAATTTGTTTCGCTCCACTCCCTTCCCCTGTTTCTGCTTCCGCCTTTTCATCTTTGTGCGCCGAGGTGGGAGGCTAATTCCAAATGATGCCTCTTCTCGAAATGCCTAACCTACTCTGATATCCCATTAGCTGTTACCTCTTTTTTATTGTGCGTACTCCTGCACCCGTGTGTCGTAGGTTTTTCTTCAGCCGTTATGCTGTAAAATTTGCAAAATTTTGTGGAAATTATGTGACCGCTTCCTCCTAACTTAGGGAAATATATTATCTTTCTTAGACAGGATGCATACAACATGCTCTTGGAAACCGCAAATTCAAGAGTAACGGCTGGCAGGGTTCAAGATTATGCGGCAATTTAAATTTAAAAAAAACGGTTCTTCAAGGAAAACCTTTCAAGAAGGCCTTATTTGCTATCAAACCAATACATAAAGAATATTTTTGCGCATATGTTCTATAAATATACTTGCATTTTTAAAGAACATCAAAAACCAATGAAAAAATACATACTACTTAAGTAGCCATTTATATGGAGTATTATTTTTGCAGGTAGCCATAAAAAAGCCCATCCAAAAGCAAACATTATGACCTGGCTTAGGCTGCACGATAATAAATTTTAAAATCCAGCTTAAGTAATTTGTTGGAGTCGAGAACGCATCTCGGAATTTTGGTTGATATTTTATGAATTAGGGAAGTTACATTATGCCGGTTTTGGCTACTTCTGTAGGCAGGTAATCCAAATGTTGCTGTAGTATGGCTTCCGGTGTCAATGGGTCTTCAGCAACTTCCAGTCATTTTCCCTTGCGACGGCTCTTTCATTCTGACATCAAGTTTGACCTGGCGACACAGACCAATTCTTTATGCTACTTGTAGTTCGTGGTACGCCCGCAATGTCCAAACCTGGTCATGGAATCTTGCCCGTTTCCGCTTTTCACTTTTAAGTTTAACTTACGAGAGAGGTGATTAATTATAGCCTGTTATTTGGCCTCTACACGTTTTCCTGGTTAACACCCTCTTGTTATGATTGTCGTTTTCCCATTTTCGTTCCGTTTTTCCGCCGGAAGCCGGGGTCGTTCACGTGAGAACTTCTGTTCAGTCACAATCCAATCAGCAGTGGCGTCTGCCCACTTTCCCTAGCCAGTGGTGTGACTTGTCGCGCATTGCTCATTTACACCTGTGATGGATTCGCTTGTGTGAGATATCTGCAAGAGAAGTGTCTTCACGCAGGGCTGGCGGTGATGTTTTCAAGTTGGGGCTGTCGTTTCTTAGAGTTTCCAAAGCCGAAAGACGCCGAAATAGTGGATTTTATTAGAACTGCTTTCTTTTCGACCCTAAGATCACCTTGTGGCAGAAATCCTCGTCTTAAGTTTTTTGATCGCCTGCGAAATAATTTGGAGTACAATATTCAAAACGAGGCCTTGTAGTCTGAGTCCGGAAGTTGATATGAATATTTAAGTCAAATCCAGCAGGTTCAGTGGGTGAACCACGCGACGAAAACCAATGCTTTCTACCTGGTATGTTTACTGACGAGAAAACCACGTATTATTCAGAGAACACACGGGGTACGCTGAGTGACACCCTAATGAGCAGATGTCTCATACGGCGGCAAAATATCGGCGAAACACGTGTCTGGACTTTTGGTTAATGCCTTTGCTGTCAGTATGATTAGTTATGTAACGCGAGTTGTAGTCTTTGGTTCTCTAATAGTAGCTGACGTTGTCTGAAAGTTTTTTTTATCAATCTCCTTTTCTTATTTATCTCCGAAAATTTGATTTAGGAGAACGTGTTTTTTCCTTGAGTTACAAAACTAAAGTTAGTAGCCAGCCGGTAGCCGATCACTTTTACCTTGTACTGTAGCTGCCTAAAGTACGAACTTCACGTCTGTGATCCCCATTTTTGGAAATTTGGCATGTCGCTGTTTAGCCCATAGTGTGACCCGGTTTCAAGTCTCATGTTAGTTCCGTCTGGCTAATCACACCAAATGCACCAATAACTTTCATCTCGGTCTGTCCCTTCTTTATTGGCTAACACTTATTCCTTATTGACTGCCTGGAACAAAAACAACATCCTCAATTTTGTTTTTCACTTTAGCTCCACGTGTTGTTTTCGTGTGTCTGTTGGCTCTGAAAGCGAAATTTGCAACGTGACCTACAGCAGTCAGTGCTACGTCGTCTGTATGGTGAAAATCTAGTCCATTTTGCCTGAGAAACCAGTGGTTCATTTTTGCTGACCGCCATTACCAGGGGAACTGTGGGCGAGCAAAATGCTGATTTGCGCGTAAATTTGTTTATAGTGTGGCGTTTTTTGCAGTACCGGTCTTCCACTGCTCGCCTCCCCCATATTACTTCTAGCAGCAGCAGCAGCAGTATCCTAGTCCTCATAATTAAAACTTAGTAGAACCTGACACAGCTTTTTGGCGATAGAGTTGGGAAGGTGGAACTCTAGACAAGCCATGCTTCCCAGCAGGACAAAACAACGGAAGGTGAGTGGGCCTGAGCATGGTGTCCGACTAGGCAGCATCCAAGTCTCTGGTTGGTGGGTATTTGGTTACGCCTACACTCATTTCCCCATCTTTATTATGCGTTTGTGCTGGAATATGGCGGACGCGGAAGGAAGATATACTCATACGCAGGTAGACAATTCTCCCACAGTAGTGCTCATCGTTGAACAGTACTCAAGCGCTGTTAGTAGACGACTGCATACAGTGTATTTTTTAATTGACATCCGTGATGAGAAAAGGCGGCGACGGTAGCGTCTGTAGTCCCACCAAGTCGTTTGTACCCAAAAGTGGCCTACTTACTGTATTTGGGTGTGTTTCATTACGGTGAAAGGTGTTAATGTTGTGTGGAAGCGTAACTCTGATAGTAATATTAACGCATTAACTGATCTGTTTCCCAAGCCTCACTAGAAGCCTACTCATAGACCTAATGTTCATGCTGGTTTTTCATTGATATTAGTGATCAAACTTGAGGTTACAGTTAAGTTTAGAGGGTTAAGGTTGTATCGGTCTAAGCTGTGGTTGTGGCTAGGGCACTACAATCATCAGGTCGAATCCCAGGTTGTAGTTAAAAGACAGAAGTCACCAAGAGGGCTTTTTATTGTGCTCGGAACCCTAA